TAAACTGGATTAAACAGCCTGAACATCGTTTTCTGCTGTTTTCCGCCCATTTAATTATGCCGCACTGATGTTCCTCATTCAGCCAACAACCGTGAGCGTGAAAACCGAGCGGGGCGCCGCCATCACAGGAACAGGAGGGGAAAAACCTGTCAGTGTCCACAGGATGCTTCATGGAGGTTTATTTTGGCGGCGTGCCCGTGTTGGCGGCGAGGTGCAGACTGACCACTGAGCCCAGAGTTTTCATTAAAAGGTGCTAACTGAAGCCGGCCTCACCCGCCGGCCTCCTCCAACACTCGACCAGATTGTTCGTGCTTCCACCTCAGCCTCACACAGGCAGGTGTGCAAGACTGCAGAGGACACATTTATTCATTTCCTCGAGTCAATCAGAGGCAAAACTTACTTTTCCAAACTCAAACATCGAATGCTTTTCTTCTCAGAGCAGATTATTCTGCAGCGATGCTGACGAGCCGAAGGCCTCGTGTTATGAAAAGAGTCAAACTGATCCGGACGAGTAGAAAGCACTGATGCATCTGAGTAACGATCAGCTTGAATTAGAGTCCAGAATCTGTTAGTTTGGATCTGGATCGTGCACAGTGCAGGGATTTTCTGTTCCTTTAAATGGTTAACGAGCCAACTAGAACACGGGCCAACTCAACGAGCCACAAAAGCTCCGTGTTACACATTTGCAAACATGACAGACACCTGTCCGCCTCAGCGGGACACTCGGGCCTCCGAGAGACGCTCACAGCCGTTTCCTCGCACAGATCCGGGGGTAGCGCCGACAGTGACCCGGCACAAACCGCCGACTGCCTGCCAACAGTCGGGCTCGGTGTGCCGAGCATCTGTCGGCCCTTTGGAGGTAGAGGAGCGACGCGCGGGATGAGTTAGCGCCGCTCGCCTGGAAGCAGCAGGCAAAAAGCACATCAGAAAGGCGTCAGCTTCACTCCCGTTTTGATCAAGCGAGGCATGAAAAGGAGAGCAACGCTGTCAAGTGGCGAGAGGGCTACGCCATTAATGTTGTTATTTCTGCACAGGGAGGTCTGTGCAGCTAATGGAGGGGGGGGCACATTAGGCGAGGCCATATGGAGGGGTCCGTTTGCCGGAGCTCTTGAATAGGCAGCTTAGAGCTGTGTGAAATTCTGCTTGTGTAGAGTTTTCAAAGACAGCCTGCAACAGCTCTGCCATATGTGGCGCTCTGCAAAGCCGGCTCTTTATTGGCTGTGGAGGCACACTTTGACTTAACAATGAATGTGAGGAACATATGCTGGGACGGGGTCTCAAAGAGCTGCAGGAGAAGAAAGGAAACCACAGATCGATGCAGGAGCGCCGCTCACAAACAAGGACAATCTCGCCGTTCCCGAGATCCTCCGCTTAGCACCGTGAAATCAAACCGCCACCAAATAAAAGTACAGAGGCTCCGGCGAATGGCTGTGGAGAAATTATCAGTCCCTCCCATCTGCTGGGAGCCGAGCCGCCTCCCTTCAGGCTCGCTGTCTGCTCAGATATTAATTACCATGTAATTACAATATCATTACACACGCCCGCTGTCTGGCTGCTGGGCCGCTCCAATCGCACGCAGGCCTAATGAGCGTGGACCCGCCATCCCGATGCGGCGTCCAAGGCGCGTGGCGGACGGCCAGGCGCGCGGCGGACGGCCACTCAGCGCCGGCGTGTTTGAGCCCCCCGAAATCTCCAGACCCCGAGACACAAAACAGCACAACGAGCGACCACAGACAGGAAGACACACATGCGATAAGGCCGAGTTGTTGCTGCGTTTCCTCATTTTATCAGTTTGATAAAATCTCTGACTTTTTAATTTTTTTCCATATTTGTGTCCGTTTCTGTCTCTTTGTCGTTGTTTTGTGTTTCTTTGTATTTGTGCTTCTTAGCTTTTAAGTTTAGTCTCCGTGCGGTGGTTCGGCGTCTCTGTGCACGCCGTGTTCGGTAATCCGTCCATGTTGCTGTGATTAACCTGATGGCAGGCTGTCAGAGCTGTCAGCCTCTTTGAAGAGAGGGCTGCACGGCTCGCAGCGCTGCATTTCTGCAGGTGCTTCAAACAAACAGCAGAAGATTGGACGTCTGAGTGAGGCCTGTTTACATGAACTGAATTTTACATTAACCCCGCCCTCTGCTCGCGTGAACGTCCGACTCGTTTAAACTCGCCGTGGTGATGGGAGACAGGAGGTGAGGGAGCTGCTCTCTGTGATATGGGCGCTCGGCTAATTGAGGCAGAAGGCAGAGGTGTTCTGT